TAAGAAAAGGGGATAAAAAAAATGGTGAACAAAAAAAGGAACATGATATTTAGGGGTGTTTCATTACAAAACCAAAGCAATGCACTATTAATATTTTTTTAATTGATTTCCCATCAGAAGCCACCACGAAGTCCAACCTAAATCGTGTCTCGTAATAAAACCGCCAGCTAGGTTAGTTTTTGGTCAGTACAAAGACCCGTATCAAATAACAGAAACCACATTATTTGAGGACAACCAACAGCAGCAACAACTAAAATGGATAGCACATATTACTTGAAGAGAAAATAATAACATAATCAAAATGTTGACATTCCACACTACTTCAAACAAAAGGTTAAGAAGGAAACCTCCATCAATAGTGGAAAGAGCGATAACAGCTACTGGACTTGAGAAATCTATTCTCCTGAAAAATTGTTTTAAGAAAATCATACTTATTATAAAACCCAGGTTGTGTGTATGTGTGTGTGTGTGTGTGTGTGTGTGTGCGTGTTCGTTTATATATTGGATCGGATTTCCTACATTTTTCAACCGATTTCAACAAAACTTCACAGGACTACGTAAAATTACCTTGAGGTGGTTCTGACAGCGCCAAAAATTGGAAAAACACAATTGTTTTTGCAAGAAATCAATTTGAAAACACGATTAAGAGGCATCGCGAGAATGAAAGGGGGACAACTCATATCGAGTTATACTTATAAAACCCAGGTTGTTTGTGTGTGTGTGTCTGTGTGTTCGTTTATATATGGGATCGGATTTCCTACATTTTTCAACTGATTTCAACAAAACTTCACTTTTTGGGGGCAGGTAGTATTTCTTATTGTCTTGCACACGTTTTTCTTTATTTTTACATTCAGAATGCTTTAAAAATTCCATTTACAAGACAATTGTTTATAATAAAATTCTATTCAATCGAAAGACTCATAACGATTGAAAACAATGTTTTTGTTTCAGTTTGGTTTTGACCAATTCGTAAAAAAAAAACAAAAAACAAAAAAAACTAATTAAGACATGCGTGTCCGTCAACCTTAAACAAGCTCCACTGCTAGTATTTTATAAATTTCAACCGAAAACAGTGCTAAACGCCATATGTTTTCTAGCAGGAGAACGGCTAATATTCTTTCATTTTCTTTTTATGTGCCATCTCCTTTCAGGACGTAGGCGATCATGGCACTCCACCTCCATTGCAGTTATCAACTAGTCCCTTCCCTTTGCGACCTTCTGCAGACCACGTTCTGTCATCCACTTGTTTAAGCTCGCTAGGTATCTCATGCATTGTTTTCCCTTGTCTCTTTTTACCTCAATTCAACTCATGAGTATCAGATTCTCCAGGCCTTCCTTTCTCATTATGTCTCCCAGAAACTTCAGCTGCTTCTTTACCATTACTATTTAGTGAATAGGGGGCGTCTCGGGGTGGGGTTAGGGCCTAGTAACAGCCAGACTAGCTGTTAATACTGAGTAGTGAGTTCGAACTCCATTTGTGGCCTCGTCCTAACCTAAGCTAAGCTTAGTAAATATTAACACTAAATTATCTTACTATCAATATTTTAAATTGATTTCCTGCCAGAAGCCTCCACAAAACCCAGCCTAATTTTAAATGGTGCCAAATGTTACCATTACTTAGTCGATCGTTTTTTTTAGGTCCAAACCAGGATCTTTTGCCTGTACAACGGACCTGTGCCGGACCACGAACATAGCACCCCCACCTAATGAGTCAGCTACCAAGCTTCATAAATAGGTATTTATGATTGTTCATAGCTTGATTGCTGGATTTATATATTTTTTCTGAGTTATCAACCCTTTGCGGGCTATTTAAAATCAGAAAATATTTTTAGATTGTAAGAATATTTTTGGTAGATAATAATGATCTTAGTGATAAAAGTCTTACTAATTAACCCATAGCTGGAGGGAGAAGAGGTGGGCTCATACCTAATCAGAATTTGATAAACAAACAAGAAATCATGTGGATAGAAAATGGAGGATCAATTCTATATTACAACCAAAATATAAACTGATCCCTCACTTTGTGGCCACATTATTTTCTATTACAGGGAATGTAAACAAGTCTAAAAGACATGACTGTGTAGCTAATCAGTGTTTGATTGATTGATTGATTCGTTTTCTACGGCTTATCAACCTTTGTAGGTTATTTAAAGCCAGAAAATATTTTTTAGATTGTAAGGATTTTGGGGGGGTGCGGTAATAACGATTTAATGATACACGTCTTACTAATTAATCTATAGATGGAGGGAGAAGGGGGTAGATTTATACTTTTCCCAGGGTTCTTTGCAAGTAAGTGAACGTAACGAAGCCAAGGGGAATTCGAACCCGGCTCTCTGATTAACAATTCCGACCCGTTATTCATTACATCACTCGCACATCCAAGCTTATAGCACCTGGTATTTTCAAGCGGACACTCATCTAAGTACTGACCAGGCTCAACGTTGCCTAACTTCAGTGGTCGTAAGCTTGAAAGCTTCAGAACAGATAGATACATAGATAGATATAAACCGATTTACGATCCATAGATAGATAGAAAGATAGATATAAACCAATTTACGAGCCATAGATAGATAGATAGATAGATAGATAGATAGATATAAACCGATTTGGGCACCTCGAGGTTGTGAAATGGTTAGCAACCTTCTCTCGCTAGACCAATTACGACTGAATCGTGAGTTCGATCCTCACTGGGTGCCCCATGCTTTCGGTCTTGTGTCACATCTAAGCCTACGCTTGGAAAATCGCTAGATATAAACCCATTTACGAGCCATAGATAGATAGATATAAAACGAATTACCAGTCATACATCGATACAAACCAATTTACGAGCCATAGATAGATAGATAGATAGATATAAAGCAAATTACGAGCCATAGATAGACATAAACTGATTTACGAGCCATAGATAGATATAAATCGATTTACGAGCCATAGATAGATAGATAGATAGATATAAACCAATTTACGAGACATAGATAGATAGATAGATAGATAGATAGATAGATATAAACCAATTTACGAGACATAGATAGATAGATAGATAGATAGATAGATAGATAGATAGATAGATATAAACCAATTTACGAGACATAGATAGATAGATAGATAGATAGATAGATAGATAGATAGATATAAACCAATTTACGAGCCATAGATAGACATAAACTGATTTACGAGCCATAGATAGATATAAACCAATTTACGAGCCATAGATAGATAGATAGATAGATAGATAGATATAAACCAATTTACGAGACATAGATAGATAGATAGATAGATATAAACCAATTTACGAGACATAGATAGATAGATAGATAGATAGATAGATATAAACCAATTTACGAGACATAGATAGATAGATAGATAGATAGATATAAACCAATTTACGAGACATAGATAGATAGATAGATATAAACCAATTTACGAGACATAGATAGATAGATATAAACCAATTTACGAGACATAGATAGATAGATAGATATAAACCAATTTACGAGACATAGATAGATAGATAGATATAAACCAATTTACGAGATATAGATAGATAGATAGATAGATATAAACCAATTTACGAGACATAGATAGATAGATAGATAGATAGATAGATAGATAGATAGATATAAACCAATTTACGAGACATAGATAGATAGATAGATATAAACCAATTTACGAGACATAGATAGATAGATAGATAGATATAAACCAATTTACGAGACATAGATAGATGGATAGATATAAACCAATTTACGAGACATAGATAGATAGATAGATATAAACCAATTTACGAGACATGGATAGATAGATAGATAGATATAAACCAATTTACGAGACATAGATAGATAGATAGATAGATATGAACCAATTTACGAGACATAGATAGATAGATAGATAGATATAAACCAATTTACGAGACATAGTTAGATAGATATAAACCAATTTACGAGACATAGATAGATAGATAGATATAAACTGATTTACGAGTCATAGATAGATAGATATAAACCAATTTACGAGACATAGATAGATATAAGCCGATTTATGAGTCATATATAGATAGATATAAACCGATTTACCAGCCATAGATAGATATTACCCGAATTACGAGCCATAGTTATATAGATATAAACCGAATTACGACTCATAGATAGATAGATATAAAACAATTTACGAGCCATAGATAGATACATAGATATGAATCGATTTCCGAACGATAGTTAGACAGATATGAACCGATTTCCGAGGGATAGATAGATAGATAGATAGATAGATAGATAGATAGATAGATATGATCCGATTTTCGAGTGATAGATATGAATCGACTTCCAAGCGACAGATAGATAGATAGATAGATAGATAGATATAAACCGATTTACGAGCCATATATAGATTGATATAAACCGATTTACGAGCCACAGATAGATAGACATGAAACTATTTACGAGCCATAGATAGACTGATATAAACCGATTTACGAGCTATAGATAGATACATAGATATGAAGCGATTTCCGACCGATAATTAGACAGATATGAACTGATTTCTGGGGGATAGATAGATAGATATAAAGCGATTTCCGACCGATAATTAGACAGATATGAACTGATTTCCGAGGGATAGATAGATAGATAGATAGATAGATAGATAGATAGATAGATAGATAGATATAAACCGATTTACGAGCCATAGGTAAATAGATATAAACCAATTTACGAGGCATAGATAGATATGAACCGATTTTCACGCGATAATTAGACAGATATAAATCGATTCCGAGCGATAGATAGACAGATCGATATTGACCGATTTCGGAGCGATATATTATATATATATATATAAGGAACCTATTTCCGAGCGAAGATAGATATGAACTAAATTCCGTGAGATAGCTAGATTTGGACCGATTTCTGGGCAATCGACAGATTTGAACCTATTAGCGAGCGATAGAGAGATAGATTTGAACCGATTACCGGGCGATAGATAAAAAGATTTGGAGCGATTTCTTAGCGATAGATAGATATGAACCGTTTTCCGATCGATATATAGATAGATATGAACCGATTTCCGAGTGATCGATCGATCGACAGATAGATAGATATGACGCGAGATAGAAAGTCTGAACCACTCTCCGAGAGATAGATCGATAAATATCATCCGATTTCCGAGAGATAGATCGATAAATATCATCCGATTTCCGAGAGATAGATACGAACCAATTTCTGAGTGAAAGATTTGAACCGATTACCAAGCGATAGATAGATAGATTTGGAGCAATTTCTTAGCTAGCGATAGATAGATAGATAGATAGATAATGAAAAAACAGAAATAGATAGATAGATAGATAATGAAAAAACAGAAATAGATAGATAGATAGATGATGAAAAAACAGAAATAGATAGATAATGAAAAAACAGAAATAGATAGATAGATAGATAGATAATGAAAAAACAGAAATAGATAGATAATGAAAAAACAGAAATAGATAGATAGATAATGAAAAAACAGAAATAGATAGATAATGAAAAAACAGAAATAGATAGATAGATAATGAAAAAACAGAAATAGATATATAGATAGATAATGAAAAAACAGAAATAGATAGATAGATAATGAAAAAACAGAAATAGTTAGATAATGAAAAAACAGAAATAGATAGATAGATAGATAGAAAATGAAAAAACAGAAATAGATAGATAGATAGATAATGAAAAAACAGAAATAGATAGATAGATAGATAATGAAAAAACAGAAATAGATAGATAAATAGATAGATAGATATGAACCAATTTCTGATATATAGATAGGATCACACAGGGTCGATAGACAGAACTGGTTTCATACACTACTATCTGGTGAGATGTTAATTATCGCTTATAGAATTTTGTGGTGTGAGAATCTTATGGAAAATGACTCTTCCACTCAAAAATTCGTGTGTTTCCGAGAGAAAATGTCCGCCTGTGTGTGTGTGTGTGTGTGTGTGTGTGTGTGTGTGTGTGTGTGCGCGCGTGAGAGAGAGAATGAGAATGTGTTTGAAGAGACCATAATCGTTAAAAGTGAAAAGGAGACATGAAAAGGGAACATGAAAGTGAAAAGGAGACATGAAAAGGGAACATGAAAGTGAAAAGGAGACATAAAAGTTAAATACTCACCAATAAAAAAAGGAATAAAAGCTCCTGGTTTTTGATTATTTTTTTGAGAATACTCCAAAAACCGTTCTGGACGGAAATTCTCAGGATCTCCCCACAATTCCTTATCTGTCATTACCGAACCAAGGTTAGGTATGATGATTGCCTCTTTGGGGATAGTGTATCCACCGAACGTGATATCTTTGGGTGTCTGACGACCGAGCAATAATTGAACAACGTTTCCGATTCTTTGGATCTCCATGATGGAAGCATCGAGGAGAGGCAAATGAGGTCGGTCAGCCAATGTTGGGAGGCGGTCCAGTTCTATATTATCGTCGATTTCTTTCTGAATTTGTTTCTGAATGTCTGGATAGTGTAACATATAGACGAGTGCCCAAAGGATAGTAGATGTCGTCGTCTCCGTTCCAGCAATTAATAAGTCACCAATTACTTTGCTCAGCTGTTCCTCTGCAAATGAAGAAAGCAGACGATATTGGAATCCATATTGAAAATGATAGAAAATATTGCAAAAAAAAAAATTAATTTTAACAATCATCAACTAAGTAGATATTTATCTTGGATAGTTTTGCCTGGCATAATAGTAAATAACCAACCTAGTGAGAGGTAATAAACTCACTATAATAGCGGATTGTACTTGAAACGATAAGCATTGATTAGTATTTGTGAAGCTTAGCTAAATCATATTTGAGTGAGTTGGACACTTCGGCGTGGTGTAATGGTTAGCAAGCTGGTCTCACTAGATCAATTACGACTGAGTAGTGAGTTCGATCCTCACAGGATGCTCTAAATTTCCGGCCTTGTGACACATCTAGGCTACACTAAGAAAATCATCTTGGGTACTTCGATGTGGTGTAATGGTTAGCAAGCTTGTCTCGCTCGATCAATTACGGCTGGAAGAATGCTGTAAAGTTCTCGGCTCGACCAAAATGTCTGTTAAAGGAAATCAAATCTAATATTTGGTCAGATATGGTGTAAGAATAAATGACGGGCTTTATTTTCAAACTTTTCCTGGATATTTCGGCAATAAATATTGCAATAAGTTAACGAATAACTGAATGGGAAGAGCTCATTAACCATTACTCAATGACAAAGGCTATATTATAAATACTTCTTGTCTTAGCTTATTTGGGTGCACGGGTGATAAAAGAATGAAATTGTCTCGGCTCCCGATATCGCTAACATTTAAAGCGTGTGTGGGTGTTTGAGAGAGAGAACATGATAGAAAAAATAAAAGAAAATGAGTGGAAAGGAAGGAAGGAAAGAAAGAAAGAAAGAAAATGAGTGGAAAAAAGGAAGAAAGAAAACGAGTAGAAAAATAAAAAAGAAAGAAAATGGAAAGAAAGAAAGAAAGAAAGAAAGACAACGAATAGAAAGAAAGAAAGTGAGTAGAAAGAAAGAAAGAGAGTGGAAAGAAAGAAAGAAAATGAGTGGAAAGAAAGAAAGAAAGAAATAAAAAAGAAAGAAATAAAAAAGAAAGAAAGAAAATGAATATAAAGAAAGAAAGAAAGAATATAAGTATAAAGAAAGAAAATGAGAAGAAAGAAAGAAAATGTGTATAAAGAAAGAAAAATGAGAAGAAACAAAAAATGAATGGATAGGAAGAAATAGAGAATGTGAATTTAAAAAAAAGAAAGAAAATGAATAGAAAGAAAGAGAGAGAGAACAAATGATTGTAAAGAAAGAAAGAAAATGAATGGAAAGAAAAAAGAAAGAAAGAAAGGAAGAAAATTAATAGAAAGAAAGAAAGAAAATGAATGGAAAGAAAGAAAGAAAAAAAGAAAGAAAGAAAGAAAGAAAATGAAAAAAAAAAAAAAAAAGAAAGAAAGGAAAAAAAAAAAGAAAGAAAAGAAAGAAAATGAATGGAAAGAAAGAAAGAAAAAAAGAAAGAAAAGAAAAAAAAATGAATGGAAAGAAAGAAAAAAAAAAAAGAATGGAAAAAAGAAAAAAAAATAAAGAAAAAAAAATTAATAGAAAGAAAGAAAGAAAATGAATGGAAAGAGGGAGAGAAAAATAAAGAAAAACCATGACTGGAAAGAATAAAGGAGAATATTTGAAAGAAAATAGCAAGGAAATGAAGAGAAAGTAAAGAGTAATAATGTAGAAAGAAAGAAAAAGAACGGAAAAAAAAAGAGTATAAAAAAAGAAAGAAAAGAAGTGGAAAGAAAGAAACAAAATAGAAAAAAGAAAGAAAGAAAGAAAGAAAAGTATTAAGAAAAGAAAGAAAACCGAAATAAATGCAGAAGACGTATGAATATAGAAAAATCAATATCGACCACTTCCCGTGATGCATCAGTAACTGTCACTTATCCCCGACGAATGTCTCACCTTCCGAGTAACAACGGCGTTTTGTCTTGAGAGTAGGACGGGGCGAGACATTCTTACACCAAATGCACCGCACCCGTGGGTCACAAGGACATGCCCCTATTGCACCTTCCTCTCTCCATCCACAACAGCCGAACCCCTCACACTCACAGGGACCACTGCATACCTATAACTATGCCAACGGTAACCCAACCTCAGTTAAATTCCCGGAGAGCCCTTTTTCTTGCTCTCAAAATACCCATCCTCTGCACCCCTACCATCTCCGCTGGCTCCGTTCTCCGCCCCACATTCAAATGTGTGTTAGTCAGTCAGTAGAACAGAAAAAATGGCGGGGCGGAAGTTGTAAGCACAGAAGAATGGCGGGGCGGAAGTTGAGGGAAGAAAAAAAAAGGGGACAGTGAAGAAAGGCTGGATAACACAAGAAAGGTGGTGGAAGTAAAGCAAGAGAATGATTAAAGAAAAAAGGAAAAGGAAAAAAAAAAGAAAAAAAGAAAGAAGCTAACGAATTAAAAAGGTAGAAGGCCTTGTATTAGCAGTTTTAACAAGTGCAGGGACAATGCGGCCCACAGCAATTACGGCCTGACCGAAGACATTCTTTAGCACTTAACATTATCCAGCCGAGCCAACTCCATACCCACCTGAAGCGATACATTGTGCTGCTGTTGTACACCCGGGACGTTAGGTACAGCTTTGAGTAGAAAAAGGGGGTTTGCTTGTCATGTTTTTCTACCTCCTCTTCCTATATATATATATATATATATATATATATATATATATATATATATATATATTTTTTATGCAAAACTAGGTAATCCGCATGGGTAGACCCAAGGAGGATGATATCCGGAGAGCTCAATGTAAATTCAAGAGCAGATATGTTTGAATAAAAACAGACCACTTTATAAAAATAGATTTCCACTTTTTAACAGGGTTCTGGATCATCAGACTTTACTTAAAGGTTGAAATGAAAAAAAAAAAATGTCTGATGATCCAGAACCCTTTAAAGGGGTTGTGGTGAAATAACTTATTACATGGAACCTTAGTCTGTTTTTATTCAAAAGGGCAACATATTTTCAGTTAAACACGTTTCATTGAATAATATAGACATACAGTGTAACCCGGATATAAGAGAAACCCGGATATAAGAGAGATTTTCTCTGGTCCCAAATTAGAGCCTGTATTAATGTATATAAATAGAAACCCGGATATAAAAATTTTCTCTGATGATCCTGTGTTAGAACCCAACCCGGATATAAGAGGATTTTCTCTGAAATTAAGCCTATGTTTATATAAATGGAATATAAGAGAGATTTTCTGGTCCCAAATTAAATGTGGTATAAGAGAGATTTTTATTCAAATTAGGGCCTAAATGTATATAAAATAGACCCAACCCGGATATAAAGACGTTTCTGGTCCCAAATTAGAATTTTCTCTGGTCCCAAATTAAGCCTGTATATAAAATAGACCCAACCCGGATATAAGAGAGATTTTCTCTGGTCCCAAATTAGAGCCTGGATAATGTATATAAAATAGACCCAACCCGGATATAAGAGAGATTTTCTGGTCCCAAATTAGAGCCTGTGTTAATGTATATAAAATAGACCCAACCCGGATATAAGAGATTTTCTCTGGTCCCAAATTAGAGCCTGGTTATATAAAAAATAGACCCAACCCGGATATTTTTCTGGTCCCAAATTAGAGCCTGTGTTAATGTATATAAATAGACCCAACCCGGATATAAGAGAGATTTTCTCTGGTCCCAAATTAGAGCCTGTGTTAATGTATATAAAATAGACCCAACCCGGATATAAGAGATTTTTCTCTGGTCCCAAATTAGAGCCTGGTATATAAAATAGACCCAACCCGGATATAAGAGAGATTTTCTGGTCCCAAATTAGAGCCCAACCCGGATATAAGAGATTTCTCTGGTCCCAAATTAGAGCCTATGTTAATGTATATAAAATAGACCCAACCCGGATATAAGAGAGATTTCTCTGGTCCCAAATTAGAGCCTGTGTTAATGTATATAAAATAGACCCAACCCGGATATAAGAGAGATTTTCTGGTCCCAAATTAGAGCCTGTGTTAATGTATATAAAATAGACCCAACCCGGATATAAGAGAGATTTTCTCTGGTCCCAAATTAGAGCCTGTGTTAATGTATATAAAATAGACCCAACCCGGATATAAGAGATTTTCTCTGGTCCCAAATTAGAGAAACCCAACCTGGATATAAGAGAGATTTTCTCTGGTCTCCTGGTCCCGATATACATAAGAGACTTCATCTCCGGTCCCGACAACTCTCTTATATCCGGGTTACACTGTATTTATTTTTATAATGATCTTTTCCAGTTTTTTTAACCAGTTTCTTGATGTAAAAATGAAAATTCATCAAGGAAGGCGCTGTAGTGTTTTTCCTATCCAAGTACTTTTGATCTACTCCAAGATCATCTTCAGATGTGAGTTACAAAGACAAACTTATTGTAACTGAGATAAAATCTGTATTTCGTTGTGATGGGGATTAAAAAAAAACATAAATTTGAAATTTATGTGTTGTAGCGATGGAAATTGTTTTGCAAAACAAGCGTCTGAATATAATGCAGATTTTATTACAGTTACATGTTTGAATCTCTCTCATATATATATATATATATATATATATATATATATATATATATATATATATATATATATGTATGTATATAAATAAAAAGAAAGAACAGCAAGATATATAATCCGGTGTTCTTATAGATATTTTTATTTTTACCAAATAGTTCTCAATGTAAATTTACAGAGCATTAATATTATAAATTAATTGATTTAAAATATGTTTTTTCGCTACACAGTTCTAACCATGTTTCAAAAATGGAAGCTAAAAGCCACGAATTTAATTTTGTAATTAAATTAAAGACATTAGTTCCATTTCATCCTCAAATTCGCTTGAGGATGAAATGGAACTAATGTCTTTAATTTGGTTAGAACTGTATAGCGAAAAAACCATATTTTAAATCAATTAATTTATAATATATATATGTGTGTGTGTGTGTGTGTGTGTGTATGTGTGTGTATGTGTGTGATAGCTGGCCACACACATTCGAGGATACCCGTCTACTGGGGCGGCTAGCCAATCCCTAATTCAGACGCTCGCCCAGGCACATTTGTTTTTATTCAACACCCACAGAGCCCACCTGTGGTTTATGCTGCAACTATGTTGAGCGAAACTTAGTTATAGTTTCTGGGAGAAAGCGTGCTATCTAGCTTGATCAGCAATCTGAACAAGGCCGGCACATTCAAACTCTCTGTCACGATGACTTGTGACTTCTTGCTAGCACAGCTATCCACGGTCCCCAATGTGTTCCGTCTACCCAATTTCACTCACAAGGCTTGAGTCAACCCGTGGTCTGATTTTCAGGCACTTTCCAAAGGTGCCGTACACTGGGATCGTCTCACTCGTAATATATATATATATATATATATATATATATATATATGTGTGTGTGTGTGTGTGTGTGTGTGTGTGTGTGTGTGTGTGTGTGTGAAGATGATGAGACAAAGTGGATTTTTATTAAAGACGCGTTTCGCCGGAGTTAGTTCATGTTCTCTTTGGCATCATCAGTTTGACTAAAAGAAAGACAAGACTATGTGTTAGGATCTCTATGTCTTGGAATCTGTAGGGATAAGTTGGTATCGTAAATCATATTAAATAATTTAGCTTATCACTTCCTGACTTGAAACTTGAAGAGAGTTTATCTTTGTGCACAAATACATACATACATACACACACACACACACACACACACACACACACACACACACACATATATATATATATATATATATATATATATATATATATATATATATATATATATATATATATATACGTTCTTACATACGTGAGCCTACACATACAACCACCCAGGCATATACATGTATAAGAGACATTTTTATTCATACTTGTACATACATGTATACATATACATGCCCACCGATATATACTTGTGCACACACATACGCGCACATACCTGTACACACATATTCTTACATACCATTGTTTATATATATATATATGTATACACTTACATATGTGTATATACACCACTATATGTCCACGCACACACAACCGTATAATATAATATATAAGAGACATTTTGTATATAGTTTGTGGGGTGCGTTGTTTTTCTGATATTCTGGGTCGCATTGGGTATTAGATTTGCTTACTTGCATATACATATATATACAAGTACAAATACCACACCCAAGGTTCCATGTAATAAATTATTTCACCACAGCCCTTTTAAGGGGCTCTGGATCATCAGAGTTTACTTCATTTTTCGTTTCAACCTTTGGAAGTAAAGTCTGATGATCCACAGTCCTTTTAAAAGGGCTGTGGTGAAATAATTTATTACATGGAACCTTAAAGTGGTCTGTTTTTATTTAAATTATTTGCTCTGGATTTACATTGAGCTCTCTGGATTTTATCCTCCTTGGGTTTACCCATACGGATTACCTAGTTTTTCATAAACTATATATATATATATATATATATATATATATATATATATATATTAAAGCCGTTGGGCGTCTGTAGATTTTTAAATTAGGCGACTCCAAGTAGATCTCACTCCTTCTCTCCACCAACCTGTATACCCCCATAATATGCTATTTGATCATTGCAATGGTCGGTTAAATAACGTATAGCCCCGGTCTTAGATTCACTGTTGAGAACTGCGAGATTAGCGCCCTCTCAATGCATTTTTTTCTCAGTGAATCCTGTTCTCTCTCCTGATCAGACTGGCATTTTTTTTTTCAAATTAAAACTGTTTTTATGATATCATTTTTAGTTGTTGAGTTTCGATGGACACTAAATTTTAAGTTATTGTTAACACGGTGTAGCATGATATCTAGGAAAGGTGAAAAGTATTGCTTTCATTTCATATATAAATTCTATTGGATATTCGACTACTGAATTTTGAGACGACACGGTGGAGTAATGGATAGCGGCTCGGATTGATGAATTTGAGAGCAGAGTTCGTATTCTAGTCGAATCCATTTCATTCACTTACGAACTAATATTGGAAGTATATTGATTAATATATATTAATCAATATATTGGAAGTATGTTGATTGTTTAGGTAAAACATTTTAGAAAGGACCAGATTCGAGAAATTCTATGAAAATACGTACAATTAGGGTCGATCTTTTGTTTATAAAAATTATTGTTAAATGTGAAATAGTATTTATTGGTGATGAGGCGGCAGATTTTTATTATTTTGGAGAAAAGTTTAATCCCCCTACCAATAGCTAAAATTAAACCTTTTAAAGCTATAATAAAGTTAAATACACTCATAAATTATTCTCTTTATTATATATATATATATATATATATATATATATATATATATATATATATATATATAAAACATAAAACATTAGGCAGCATATAATTTACATACAAAGAATAATCACATAGAATCAATCAGAAGTATTAATGCGATTATTGGCGACATCCATCGCTAGAAACATAATATATGCATTAAAATACTGTTAATCCTGATTGATTCTATGTGTGATTATTTTCTTTATATATATATATATATATATATATATATATATATATATATATATATATATATATATATAGAGAGAGAGAGAGAGAGAGAGAAAAGACTAAACATTATGACCTTAAGAATAAGAATATAACGATTGTCATTGCATTTAATTTTTTTGAAGATCGAAGTTGACTGGGAAGCAAGAAACTGGAAGAAGCGACAAGTGCAATAGAAATTTTATATATATATATATATATATATATATATATATATATATATATATATATATATATATATATATATATATATATATATATATATATATATATATATATATATATAACATAAATTTCTTCACTTAACTGTTGAATGTCTGTACTTATCGGCAGAGAAGTAAACCAATTTATTATTATTGTTGTTGTTTTTGTATTTTGTCTTACGGACACAGCATGATGAAACACCGGTTTCCATACGATGACCGAAGTTAAGCAATGTTGAAACTGATCAGTACCTAGATGGGTGACCGCTTGGAAATACCAGGTGCTGTCTGCTTGGGTGTGCGGATGGTGTCCGAATCTTTTGTAGAGTAAATCAATAATTTCGTAACCTAATGCCGGGAAAAGTATTTATTTTGCACAAGAAATATTTATTTTTCAACATAGTCACTATCCCTGTCATTGCACCTAATCCAACGCTTCTGTCTTAATCACGTAGATCGAACATTATACACTGAAAATTTCAGATGACTCTCATAAGAGAGAGAGAGAGAGGAAATGAAAGAGTAAGTACAAGAAATAAGAATAAAAAAAGATAAATGATACATGTAAAAGAAAGAGAAAAAAGAAAGAAAAATGAAGAATAAAAAGAAAGAAAAAGTAAAGTGTAAACAACAAAGATGAAATGAAGAAGAATAAATGAAGAAAAGAAGAAGAAAAGAAGAAATCTTTAAGAAAGGAAAAAGAAAAAGAAAAGAAGAAGAAATGAAGAAGTAGAAATGAAAGGAAGAAATATTTGGAGGAACGGACTACTTTAAGTCGGAAGCGCAGCGTTCTCCAATTTAAGGCAAGCCAAATCACTTCCGAGTTGTCCTACTAAATTACTGCACCGGGTAACAAGTCAGTGAAGGACAAAGAGCTAACCATACCTCTCCGACCCTTTTGATTCGTGCTTGCGACAAAACGGCCCTCTGCACTTACATTCCTGCTACTTCTTAGATTGATTCAACAACCAAAACAGATTTTTTTTTCACTTGCAAATTTACTCGGCGTCGCCTACGTTAATTAAGCCGCTGAGATTATCTTGGACTTTTTGTTGGCTAACTTTACTGCCTGACCTCTGTAACCATTAATTAATCACATAATTGAAAATAATACACAAACGTAACAAGGAAATACAGACGAGATAATTAACAGATCAAGTTCAGTTCCGAATTCCTGAAACTTTATCTTTCTTTTTTGGCTTTAGACAAACATATCTTCAGATGTTCGAGTTGTAACCATCCTTTTCCTTTAATAAACTTGTACAGTCGGATTAAAAAAATACCATGTCCATTCAAAACGTGGGTGATCATGGCTCTCCACAACATCCTCTTCTTTGTAGCTCTTAATAATGTTTGTATTGTCACTATCTCTCCGAATCACTGTTCTGCCTACCATTTACACAAGTTCATTCTTCTTCTTCCTCTGTGTGCCACCTTTGAGGACATGGGCGATCATGGCTCTCCACAACATCCTATCCTTTCTAGCTCTTAATAATGTTTGTCTTTTTGCTATCTCTTCTAACTTTTGTTTTATCAACCATTTACATAAGCTTGTTCTTCTGCTTCTTCCTCTATATGCCATGTGGATGTGGGCAATCATGGCTCTCCACAATTTCCCCGTCTACTGTACCGCATAGTAAATTTTGTCTTTTATATTTCTCCTAATCCATGTTCTGCCAACCATTTCCATAAGCTCGTACTTCTTTTATGTGTCGTGTCCCTTCAGGAAGTTGGCGATCATGGCTCTCCACAATTTCCTGAACTTTGCAGCGCTGAGTAAAGTTTGTCTTTTTTAATCTCTGTTCTGCCAACCATTTACACAAGGTCGTTATGCACTGTTTTTCTTTGCCCATATATAGAAGTCTGGGAGTTTGGCACCATTATTTGTAAATGGTTCTCGATGCCGAGGAAGCTACTCGCAGAAAAGAAATGAATATGTCGGCCTGGTGACTTTTTTTACCCTTGAATCAAAGGCGAAAACTTGGACGACCATCAGCTAATCAGTTATGGTGATTTAAAACGCAAAGTCCGAGGAGACCCCGACGACCTGAACTCGATAGCTTTAAAAAAAAACTACAATCATCGAAAGACAGCATATATGCAGCCTTGAAGAGTTAACATCACTAGGCCGATCCGGCTCTGCTAATCACTGCATTTTTGCGGTTTTAGTCATTAAATATCGCCACACCTCTCCTTCTCTAGACTGGTTACCAATTAAGGCTAGAGGGCATAGTCTACCCTTTTATTTAACCCATAGTCATAGGGTGGCAGAAGAGACGGATTTCTTATCTTTCTTATCCGAGGGTATTTGTGTGAAAGTGAACGCATTCATCCCGACCGGAATTTGAACTCAGTATGCCGACCCTACTTTCAGCGTCTATAACCGTCATGCTACATCCACATCCGGAATTTTACATAAATTTAAAAAAAAAAATTTCTACCTATTTGATGTAAAGGTTTGTGAAAAAACGAAAATGCATTTGATACAGCTTTGTTGGTTGAAATCAAATAATATGAGTTTTAGCGCTCCTTATGCACATTCCACTTGCAGATTATTTACAAAAGAAATCAGTTCTTCATTCTATTGGACTCGTTCTTTGTGTTGCTCTTGTTGTTACTATATAATTTTTCATGAAACACCGGTTCCCGTACGATCACCGAAGTTAAGCAACGTCGAGCCTGGCTAGTACTTAGACGAGTGACCGCTTGGGAATACCAGGTGCTGTAAGCTTGGATGTGCGGATGGTGTAATGGATAATGACTCGGAATTGTTAATCGGAGAGCCGAGTTCCAATTCCTGTTGGGTTCGTTATATTCACTTACGCGCAAAGAATCTACCTCCTCTGCCTATGGATTAATTAGTAAGACTTGTATCACTAAATCATTACTATCCAAAAAAAAAAAAAAAAAAAAATCTTCCAAACTAAAACTATTTCCTGGTTTTAAGTTACCTGTAAAGAGTTAATAAGCCGTAAAAGAAAACCCGAATCAAACTAACTTTTAATCCAGTCTATTGAATATAATTCTTCGGACGTGTGTCTAATACTCAACGTTATAGGCAGAAACTATTCAAAATTGATTTCAGTTTTGAAACACATAAAAGCGTACAGTTTATCTTCACTTATCATTATTGTTGAAACTTGACTAATGCATGGAATAATAATACAATACAAAATGTACTTAGAACAAAATGTATTGAAACAAGAAAGTGTACACAATATTTACATATAGTCTTTTGTATATTCTTGGTAAGACCGTTCCTGGAGAATGTGTTGACTTAGTCGCAGTCGGGCAGAGTCTCTGGATTGAATCTCTTGATTCCTCCCCCCGTCTTCCCGGTACCAACCATATTTATATGGTCGGTACTCCACTATGCAAATTAGGTGGATCCTACCACAACAATTATAAAATTGTAAATATTCATTGGGATTTCATTTTTAAAAACTGTTATTTTTATACCCGCCCGGGCGAATTGTACATATGGGAACTAGTTGTAACTTCATAAAGACTTTGAGGTATTATTGTGGCTCTAATAAGAATGGTAAGTAAGAATGTGTTGTTTTGGTGTAAGGAATACTGGTATGTTTGGGTCAGTAATTGTGGCTCAGTCAGTCGTGTGCCATGCGTGATATACGCTTAGGCGATCATGTATCTTTCGATACATGACTGACGAGGCAGATTTTTTCTCGCAGTAGGTTGCCATTTCTTTCTGCGATAGACCAGTAGTTGCCATCCAAGGCTATAGAACCCGATCTGTCCTACTATTTACCCATAGTTGGTGGCGATGAAGAGGATTCATACCTTTCCCAAGGGTATTAGCACGTAAGTGAATTTCAGTCAGTTATGTGCCATGTGTGATACACGCTTAGGTGATCTTTCGATACATGACTGACGAGGCAGATTTTTTCCTGAAGTATGCTGCCATTTCTTCCTGCGATAGACCAGTTGCCATCCCTAACCCTGCCGATAACCCGGTCTGTCCTGCTATTTATCCCGTTTCTTAATATTTTTCTTGGCTTTTGGAAGGTATCTTTGACTATCCCAATGCGTCTTTGGATTTCAGTGTCGCAATTTCCGTCCTCTGTTAAAACAATTCCCAATGGGAGAAGAAGAGGATTCATATCTTTAGCACGTAAGTGAATGTAATGGATTCGACTGGAATTCGAACTCAGCTCTCCGATTTCTCAATCCGAGCCACTATCCATTACTCCACAGTGCCTCCGTGTGGCTAGTTTAATATAGGACAGATTGAAGACCAGCCTTCCCCTATCTCCACCTTTGGCTTTGTGACATACATATTGTCAAAATAAATATTACTTACCATTCAGTGATGTGTCCGGATCAGTTTTTTCTCGAAGCTTCATCTCTTTAATATAGGCATCAATAAAGTCGTTAATGTTCGTCTCTTTGTAGGCACGCATGTGATCCCGTACGGCTGTCGACAAGAACTCTTCCATATTCTCAATGTTCTTGAAGATCTTTTTGAAGTTGAACGGATCTCCAGGCAGGTGTTCAAGCATGGGGAAGAAGTTGACAATGGCGCTCAGACCAATGTTCTTGAAGTTCTCGTCTATTCCCCGGACGTACTTCTTGAACTGGGGGTTGTTGTAATCAAATCGCCGGCCAAACATGAGCGAACAAATGACGTTGGCGACGGCTGTTTGCACCAGATCGTGAATGTCCAACGGTTTGGCGGCACTGGAATCCAGGACTTCGACAAAGGCCTTCACTTCTTCATGTATTCGGTCTTCCATGCTGTGGTGACCTAAGCCAAGGTCTTTGAGAACACGCAAGGTCAGTTTGCGTTGTTCTCGCCAAGTGAGGCCATTAGTGCAGACGATACCTACGGACGAAAAAAAATAAAATTAAAAGTGATTTTTTTTTTACTTAAATGTTCAGATCCAAAAATAAATTTTACTCACCCTCCCAGCACACTTTTAACAATTGACCCCCGCCCCTTTTATTTTGATTTTTTGCCCTCAGATTGGTAACATATGGTAGGGATAAGTCATAACTGAAATTGTTGTTTTAAACAGTTGATAGAGAGTAAACCTTTAGCAACAGTAAACCTTTCTCTGCCTGGCACTGAAAATAAAATGACAGTATTATTGGTCGCCAAAATCTTACCAAGATAAGATAAGCAGACGACACAGTATTGATAGCAGACATAGAAAGGAAACTAGAAGAACTCCAACAGAAGACAGCGAGAAGGAAAGCGAGAAGAAAGGATTAAACATCAACTGCAAGAAGACAGAATTGCATGGTTGTCAGAAAAAAGGGAGCAGTTCAACATGTAAATTACAAATTGGGGATAACAAAATCAAACAAGTACAAAAATTTAAATATCTAGGAATTGTTTTAACAGAGGACGGAAATTGTGACACTGAAATCCGATGGGGCAATGGGATAGCCAATGATGCCTTCCAAAAGCTAAGAAAAATATTAAGAAACAGAAAAAAAATCGTCAGAAAAAAGAAAAGAGTACTGAACTGTTATGTAATATCAGTCCTCCTAAATGGCATTGAATGGTGGGAAATCTCATGGCAGATGAAGAAGAGACGAAGCAACAAAAAGAAAGAAAAGAGTACTGAACTGTTATGTAATATCAGTCCTCCTATATGGCAGTGAATGCTGGACAATCTCCTCACAGATGATGAAGAGACTTGAAGCAACAGAAACAAAGAAAAGAGTACTGAACTGTTACGTAATATCAGTCCTCCTATCAGTGAATGCTGGACAATCTCCTCCTGAAGAAGAGACTTGAAGCAACAGAAACAAAGAAAAGAGTGTAATATCAGTCCTCCTATATGGCAGTGAATGCACAATCTCTTCACAGATGAAGAAGAGACTTGAAGCAACAGAAACAAAGAAAAGAGTACTGAACTGTTACGTAATATCAGTCCTCCTATATGGCAGTGAATGCTGGACAATCTCCTCACAGATGAAGAAGAGACTTGAAGCAACAGAAACAAAAAAAAGAGTACTGAACTGTTACGTAATATCAGTCCTCCTATATGAATGCTGGACAATGCTGAAGAATCTCACAAAGAAAAGAGTGAACGAAGAGAGCGAATGCTCTCCTCAAGATGAAGAAAACAGAAACAAAACAAAAAAGAGTACTGAACTGTTACGTAATATCAGTCCTCCTATATGGCAGTGAATGCTGGACAATCTCTTCACAGATGAAGAAGAGACTTGAAGCAACAGAAACAAAGAAAAGAGTACTGAACTGTTACGTAATATCAGTCCTCCTATATGGCAGTGAATGCTGGACAATCTCCTCACAGATGAAGAAAAGACTTGAAGCAACAGAAACAAAAAAAAGAGTACTGAACTGTTACGTAATATCAGTCCTCCTATATGGCAGTGAATGCTGGACAATCTCAACACAAATGAAGAAGAGACTTGAAGCAACAAAAATGTGGTTCTACAGAAATATTCTGAGAATACCATGGGCCAAACATGTGAGCAACGATGAAGTTTTAGTGTAAATGGAGACAAAAAGTACACTTATACTTAACATCAGGAAGAGATAGTTGACATTTCTAGGGAACATAATGAGGAAAGAGGGCTTGGAAAATTTGATACTCACAAAACAGATCAAAGGCAAGAGGGACAGAGGAAAACAACGTATAACCTACCCGACGAGCTTGAGTAAATGGATGATGGAGCAAGGTTTAGGAGAGATAGCAGAAAGACAAAATTTATTAAGAGTTACAAAGGACAGGTAATTGTGGAGAGCCAGGATCGCCTACGTCTTGAAGAAACACGGCACAAAGAAAAAAGAATTATTATATTTAAGCTTTGCCAATAGATTACATTCGTGAATGTAAATAAAGATGAGCGAATATTTATAAATCGACTGATGTTCGGTGAATTCTTTTTTTCGTTTTCTCATCTGTTGATATGACAAATGAATTATTTTGCGCTCTCTGGCAAGTGGCAAGGCAGGTGGGCCAGTTGGCATGAGTCTACGGTTTTCAGAAGACGTGCGGAGTGTTGTTAAGACATTTCTGAGTTTCCAACAACCACTTCTGTCGACTAGTAAACATCGGAAACTGGTTTGATTCCGTATGGCACAGTATCTCGAACAAAACTATTTATGCGAGGCACCGTCGATGGAGGACAAATACGCTTGTGACAATATAAGAAACGGTTTCATAAGATCAGGACAGGGATGGCTTTCCCGGATCTTCTATTGGCCACTGCCAGCAAAATCGGTTTGAAAGTCGTTTTTTCACCGTTCACGTGTCGTCGACGACGATCAGTGAGATAAAGGATTCCCGGCAAGGGCAAAAGGGTAAGATTATTTATTTCGTAAAGATACAAAATTGTGGCACAAGGCATTAGTGGAAATGGGGAGAGGCTAGTCTTCATTAGATATCCTAGTCCTAGTTAATCAGAATCACGACCCATTCGTTCATTACAATTTTCCCATTCACCACAAGAACTCATACATCACCACTCAATCCTGGATATACCATAATACCGCATATTCTCAGGGGACCTACAGAACATCCTATGTTGTAAAAATTTCATTTCATTGTTCATAAAGTTCGTTTGTATGAAAATTTCATGATTTATTAAATGACAAGGGGTGGGAGGATGAAAGCAGAAAACAAACTAAAAATGAAACACAAAACAAAATGTTAGTAGAACCCGTCCATCTCTCAAAATAATGAGAGTGGCCGCTGTATTCAGTCGATAGACAAAATCAAGAAGCACACTCACTAATGGAATGGGAAGGGTAAAAATAAATGATGGAAAGGGGGAAAATCAATGGCTGCCCATGTCGAGATGAAAAATGGGGGACAAATACAAACTAAGGGGGGGGGGTAAGAATCTTGACATGGGTCATAACAAAAGAGAATGCCGGGAAACAGGCCAGGAACTACACTTATTCACATTAACTAGGAAAACATAATATTATCTAACTTAACCAGGAGAGGGTTCACAGGAAACCGTTCCATTGCATCAAGGGGATTTAAAAGAGAAAATCGAGACTAGCCCCGTACACACGAACCAGGCTCGCCTCAATCACCCACCTTTCGCTGAAATTTGTCGAAATCAAACGCTTTCCATCAGATCTGATCCTTACCCTAAGCTGATGCTTAAAAAAACAACCAGATCCTGATGCGAATAGCGTTCGTCCCGCAAGATTCCCTCATTTCGCGACGTCCACACCACCATCTTTGCCTCGGCTAGCAACGTAAAAGAAACCATCCGTTTTACCCCGGAGAACGGAGGCGACACATTGTCACTCGGGTATGCGAGATCGACAAAAGGGTAAGGTAAGTAATATTGATATTGAAAAGAGAAGCAAGAGAATATTTTAAAGAAACTCCCTAACTACTTAAATAGAGTGGTCCCCTTGTAAAAAAAAAAAAAAAAAGGGGACTTTTTTTCGGGGGATAATTTTTTTTGAAGACGAGCATTCATTAAACGTTCCCCAATCCGTGATGTTTGTCAAAATAGAAAAATGTTGATTTTTATTGATTTAGAAATGTGGGTAAGGTGTTCATGATATCAATACAATGCAAAATCGATGCCTAACTTTTTATTGAGTTATTGGACATTGCTGTTATTTACAAATGTCAAGTTTGAAACTTATAAACATAATTGATTTTCATTTAATTTTCTGAATTCGTTAAACGTTTTTAAATATTTATTTTATTTTATATACTTTTAAAAGCTTCTCTTGGGGAATTTTTTGAAAGCACATCCACAAAAATTAGGGAATAATAATTATTTATCTTAAATGAAGTATAAACGAAAATATATTTTTATTATATATATATATATATATATATATATATATATATATATAAAGAATGTATAAATATAAAATGTCTTTATATATATATCATAAACTTTTAGGAAAACAACTGAGTCATTGCTCTAGTTATTGAACTGTTTAATTCACGCCACGTTGACTGATAAACAACTACAACAAAAAATTCTTAAGTTGACATATTAGTAAAAACGCTCTTCTTAAATTTTCAGAAATTCAACCTTAGCGTTGCGACTGCACGCTCCACAAGTTTGTATCTGGTATCAATAAAACACTTCAAAAAAAAAAAAAAAAATTACATATTTCGATTTGCATTATATTTTTTCGTCTCGGATGCTACCTGAATTTTACCAAAAAGAAAATAGTTTCCATGATGATGACCGGAAAACCTGTCGAAAGTACTTGCATATTTAAGGAAGACCTAATATAGTTTATAATTTTAAAAAACAAGGATCATAGCATTCATCGAGTGGTTAGTGTGTTAATGCATTTTTAAAACTTAGCGAAGTGAATTCGCCATTTTATCTCATTAACTTTACTAATTTACTTTTTGTGTGAATGATTCATTGTAATATATATGTATATACACTCTCACACACATACAGTGTGCGATGGATAAATTGTCGTCTAAATTATTTCACAGATATATTTACCAAAATGATACAAAATTACCTTGAAATACTAAAGAGTAAATTTATTCAATAAAATCGCTATTGGCTTCAAACACAGCCTGCAGATGACTTCGCAAATCTCTTGCAACTTTTCTGGATGGTCTCTTTAAGTTGGTGAATGCTGCCATAATGCTTGCCTTCGGTTCATCTTTGGTATTACAAGGAGTTTTGTTGGTCTTTCGCTCAACTGCAACCCACACATAATAATCAAGGGGGTTGCAGTTTGTAGGTTTTTGGCCAGATGAAAGTGGTGATATGGTCGCAGGAATTATCTGACAGCCATGACTGGATTCTCCTGCTTGTGCGGCATGGTGCAGAGTCCTGTTGCCAGACAAAGGGTCTTCCAGCAGCCACTACTCTTGACCCAGGGCAGCACTACCTCATCAAAGCACTATGTTGAATCTGAGGCCCCGAGGGAAGATGAATGGAGGCATAACGTCACCATCACCAATGATCACTCATTAGACTTATCTTAGTCATCTTAATCACCATTAGAATCATCCAACTCTTTCTAAATCCTCTGCAACGTCCTCAGAATGACATCCAAACACTATGAAATGTTCGTATTGAAGCTTCCAGCGTGAAGGCCAAACAGTACAGCATGCCGTTTCCAAGTTTATGGCGGAGTGAATTGCATCATGGTGCTCTTTTTCTCACAGACGATGTCCAACTGTCCGTAATATACTGTGCAGTCGACAAAATCAAACCCAAACAACGCACATGCGCGAAATTAAAAATATAAAATGGCGACAATTTACTTATCGCACCTTGTATAAGTTTACTGAAGAAGCTTAAAAGTGTTTTCTATGTATTTCTCCTCTTCATGTAAATATTGAGGGCTGCAAATTCTGAGTGCTCTTATACAGGATTTTATTTTGATTCTCATCATAACAACAAAATAAAATCTAGTATAATCATCGGATTCTACTTAAAATTTAATACAAATAAAATTTAGATAACTAAATGAAGATAATTCATTTATATGCATTTAATTTGAAATGGGTCCGACATTTCATATTTTGGCTTGTACCGGGTCCCTTCGAGCTGTTGTAATGTTTAGCAAGCTTGTTTTAGTAGATCAGTGTTTCTCAAATTTTTTAAGCAAAGACACACCTAGGAGCAAATGAAAATATCATGGCACACTTAGGACAATTTTTTTTAAAGGGTATATATTTAAATGTTATGAAATAAGACCAAAATATGAACTTTATTTCAATGTTTCTATTCAACGATTTGTGCAGATTATTCAGTACTAGCAGTAGAGCCCGGCGTTGCCCGGGGATGTAACAGTAAGAGATAGATCAAGTATCGACCATCATAAAGACTGGAAAATAAAATTGACAAAGATTATTGTTTAAGGTTGATGGACACGCATGTCTTAATTAGTTTTTTTTTGTTTTGTTTTTTTTTTTTGTTTTTTTTTTACGAATTGGTCAAAACCAAACTCAAACAAAATGTTTTCAATCGTTATGAGTCTACCGATTGAATAGAATTTTATTATAAACAATTGTCTTGTAAATGGAATTTTTAAAGCATTCTGAATGTAAAAATAAGGAAAAAGGTGTGCAAGACAATAAGAAACACTACCTGCCAAAAAAAAGTGAAGTGTTGTTGAAATCGGTTGAAAAATGTAGGAAATCCGATCCCATATATAAACGAACACACACACACACACACACAACCAACCAACCTGGGTTTTATAATAAGTATAACTCGATAACTCGATATTAATAAGTATAACTCTATATGAGTTGTCCCCCTTTCATTAATGCCTCTTAATCGTGTTTTCAAATTGATTTCGTGCAAAAACAATTGTGTTTTTCCCATTTTGGGTACCGTCAGAACCACCGCAAGGTAATTTTACGTAGTCCTGTGAAGTTTTGTTGAAATCGGTTGAAAAATGTAGGAAATCCGATCCAATATATAAACGAACACACACACACACACACACACACACACACACACACACACACACACACACACTCTGCTTTTTATAATAAGTAAGATGAAGCATGTGCTTGGTAGTGTTTTTTTTTTCGCGATTTCTTCAATGTTGGGTCGAATGTGCAATAACCAAGTCAAAAGTATTTAAAATAACATAATCGAATAATAGTGAAAAGAATTATTTGAAAAAAAGAGTTTAATACTTATTCATTTAGTCAATGTACCATTGCTACTTTTACACACACATATATATATGTATGCCGTGAGAATATTTGGCGGCACAGTTAAGAGGATCACGCGGCATACCATTGTGCCGCAGCATGGTGGTTGTGAACCACTCTGCTAGATGAATTACGATTAAATAGCGAGTTCGATCTTCATCAGGTGCTCATTAATTTCGGTCTCGTGCCACGTCTAAGATACGCTTAGTAAATCGATGTTTGCTTTATCATCTTCGTAACTGACCTGAGCGCTCTTTCTGTTAGCATCCAAAGAGAAAAGGTTTTGAGTTTAGGGCGGATAAAATGTTTTCGAATTTAACAGTCTGCGAGAATTGATCTTTAACCATTGATCTGCAAATTGCGAGTCGTCCATTTTTCTTTTTCTTTCTTTTTCTTTCTTTTTCTTTTTTGCGAGGTGGATCTGATGAAATAACTTTTTCTGCTAAAACATGAATATAAAATAACGATCCCATTTTTTTTTAAAATCGGTATCACCTCAGGCAAAGGCAGTAAAGACGCAAGGAGGTTACATGGTGTGGAAGACTTAGAAACATTAATAATGAGAGGGAACAGAAAAGAGTAATCAGAAGGACAGTAAGACAACGATTGACATTGGAAAGTTTTGCAGATTAAAGTTAGCTGGAAAGCATGGAGCCGGAAGGGTGTTTCACAAGCGAGAAGTACGAGAAAAGAAACTGTTAGCATAGAACTTACGGCTGCATCTATCCAGCTCAACTGTAAATTGATGAGATCTCGACGCCAGTCTAGTATTGCGTTTAAATTCATACAGTTTAGATTCCATATTGGAGAGCGATATTTATTCTGTTTAATACAGAAATGTGGCACAAGGCCGAAAAGGGGATTGGGGAAAGGACGGTCTTCTTCTGTCTTAACTATAACTTAGCTAGCCGCAAGCACTGACCCAATCGTACGAAACAATATTCCTTTCACCAAAACAACACATTCATTCGTACCTTTCTTACTACAACCACCATACCTCTTTGTCTCTATGAAAATACTAATTAGTCCCCATATTTACAATTGGTGGTCTGGGGGAGGGGGGAATAAAACAACAATTCTAAAAAGTTAACCCCAATGAGTATTTACAATATGCATACAAAAACTATTTACAAGAAACTAAAGAAAATAAGATTAGTAATAAAACCCCCCACATATTGGAGAGCTCATCCGAACAATTACAATGGAAGTATTTATAGAAAAGACCCAGATAGGCAACCTTACGGTGGTGTGAAATTGACTGAAGTTGAGCCGCCAGATCAGGACCAATAATATTGCTGATTCTTCTTTGGATTCTGTCAAGGAGCTCAAGGTAAATAGCAGGCTCACCGGACCATATGTGGCAGCAATATTCTAAGCATGAACGAATGGTAGACTTATAGATATGCAAGATAGATTCTGGAGAGAAAAAAAATGTCTCACACGACACAGGGATATTTATAAAAGAAAACCTTTTTTTTTTCCCCGTCCTCTGCTTAAAGTCTTGTTTGCAAACGTTTTGTTTTTTCTTAAATCACACCCACTTGCTTGTTTACTTAAAGGCGAATTGAAATTTTAGGAATCTTAAGTTGACCTCAGAGGTCAAATTTGTAGGTTGAGATTCGCTTAGAATGTAGAAACAATAGAGAAATGGAAGAGGGCTGGGCCGTTGCGTTCATCTCTACTACTGTTACCACTGAACTTAACTCTCGAGTTCTTTCTTTCTTTTGCAGCTTTTCTTTCTTTCTTTTCTTTCTTTCTTTTCTTTCTTTCTTTCTTTTAAATAATTTCTCAGTTTCTTGTCCTATATTTATCTTCTGAACTGAGAAAGTAAGAAAACACAGAAAGGGAAGGAGAGACAGAGACTGAAACAGCGAGAGGCAAAAAGAACGATAGAGAAGATATGAAGAGGCACCGATAAAGAGAGAGAATTTTTCTTTTTTTAAATCAATTCACCCCCAACCCGCAAGCAAGGCGATAATGCCACTAAGACGCAAGGGGTTACTGGGAGTGAAAGAGAAGGAAAAAGACTTTAGAAGGAACCGGAATTCCAATCCTAAACAGGAAACAAGGATAAACTCTGTTCAAAAGACCGGACGATAGGCGAATATATATATATATATATATATATATATATATATATATATATATATATATATATATATATATATAAAATCACATGTCGTTTGGTGCTTTCAACAACATTTTAACAGCACCTTCCTCCAATCAAAGCAGATCAGATTCGTGATTCCCAGCGCCACAAGTATAAAATTGAAAATCAAGGTATAATAAAACAAATAGGCTATTTTGCCGCCGGTTTCGATAAAATAGATACCAATGACATTTTGCCTGTAAATATAAATAATGGTTTATATATATATATATATATATATATATATATATATATATATATATATATATATATACTAGCAGTATAACCAGTCTTCGACCGGGTGTTTCATTACTGGAAATTTTTGCTGTTCAGTTGGAGCAGTTTAAATCTAAAGTCAATCTACCTGAAAATCAATATTAGTAACAACAATTGGATGCAACTGAGGTACATCCCCAAACAGAGCGGGTTAACAATTTGAATGGGGTGGCCCTGAAAAGCGCCGTTTTGGCGTTCTCAATCATGCAAGGAAGGAATCTCTTCCATGGATCGTCATAATAATAATAATAATATACGATAATTTTTATTTACAGTATAATTTTTTTTTTATAATTCTAATAATCTTTTGCGTTATATTTCAACTCTCTAAATTGATTGTATGCTGTTTTTTTACACACATTAAATTTTGACTTTGATTTTTGCGCAATGAGTAAAAAATCAGTTTTTTCGATTTTTCACCTTCAAGATTGTAATTTTCCCCGGCCAATTTGGACTTATAATCGGCACTGAAGAAATATCTACGAAAAAGAGAAAAAATTCATCGAAATCGGATAAAAACTGTGGAAACGCATAAACAACATCCGATCACACACACACACACACACACACACACACACACACACACACACACACACACACACACACACACACACACACACACACACCTTGAGAATTATATATAGAGAGAGATTGCGTTCGTCAACAAAGTGGTTGTGTACGCAGGACATGAACAACATGGGTTCTGTGGGTACACCTATTGGGCAAGTTCTGGATTTGCAGAACTAAGAATATAAATATAGAGTTTTAGAACTAAGAATATATATATATATATATATATATATATATATATATATATATATGTGTGTGTGTGTTTTGGCAGAATGTTTTCATTAGGACATGTTTCATTGAATATTTTAGGCATGTTCTGTCTACTTATTTTCAATAGGATCCTTTCATATACACGGATAAGTTTTTTGGTGTCGAAAGAATAATTCTTTTTTTTTATATATACAAGTCCTACTATTTATTTTTTACGGTTTATCAACCTTTTGTAGGTTATTTAAAGCCGAATGATATTTTTGCATTGTAAGGATATTTTTTTTCTTTTTTGCAAATGACTATTGTCTTTTGAAGACAATAAAGAATACAAGTACTACTATTTTACCCATAGGTGGATTCATATCTTTCCCAAGAGTATTTGCGCGTAAGCGAATTCAACGAACCTAATCGGAATTAGAACTCAGCACTACGATTTCACATTCCGAGCCGTTATCCATTACACCACCCGCACATCCAAACTCACAGCGCCTGGTATGCCCAAGCGGTCACCCATCTAGGCACTGACCAGTCTCGACGTTGCTTAACACCGGTAATCGGACGAGAAACCGGTATTTCAACGTGATACGACCGTCAGTCTCCAGGTTAACGCTATCGAATGTCGATATTTGGTCATTGTGAATTGTACGCACGCTTTTGTTTATTGTGTATCGACCGTTGACGCAATTACTGAGAGAACAGGAACAGGTGTTGGGACATGCGCAGTAAATTTTTTTGCAAAAAGAGTTTTTTTTTTTTTACACGTATACGAACTAAGGAAAAAAAAATCAGCAACTAGATAATAAAATAAAAAGAGAAATCAATGTGAGTTATATACAAGAACGTGTTCACACGCATAGCTTCGCATACAGTCACTCGTATGCATCCAACGTTTTTCCTAAACATCGTCTACACATATTTAGTGACAAAGATAACAGCAGCTATTTCATTGGCTTATCCAGAATCTTATGATTTTTATCTGAATTTCTGAGAAAAAGAGTTATTTTATACATTGATTCTTTCAGACCAGTATCCTCATCTTTGTTATTTTTATCACAACCTTATTGTTAGATCTCCCCACCCTGCCACCTTGCTGGGAATACTATAAACTGAATATGTGATTAACTATGGCGATAATTATCAGGCGTTTTTTTTTTTCATTTGTAAATAAAAATTGTTTTTTTGCTTACTTTTTTTTAATAAAAAATATTTTATTTTCAGGTTATAAAAATGCGTGTCGATAATCATACGCTCCGGAATAATTATTTAAAAATGTTATTGTTGGATTGTTATGTTTCTTTTTTCATAATGAATATTGTTTAAAAAAAAACAAAAAAAAAAAAACGCCTGATAATTATGCACCAACTCAGTAGGAAGTTTTAAGCAAAAAGGAAGATTGTATTGTATTTACGATCTGAAGAGAACAGTTGAAATTTCTAGCACACTTAATAAGGAAAGTAGGCATGGATAATTTGACACTCACAGGACATATTGAAGGCAAGAGGGACCGAGGGGAAAAAAAAAACAAACCTAACGAGCAAATGGTTAGCAGAACAGGGGATAGGAGAGAGAGGGAAAAAAAAATTAAGCGTTACAAAGGATAGTAAATTGTTGAGAGCCATGGTCGCCGAGGTCCTGAAGGAAAAGTATGGCTATATCCCGAAGATCTGAATATAACTTTGTTTAAAAAAAAGAGGAAAGGTGTAGGTTGGTGGCAGAACAGGGAATACTAAGGTAACAATCAATTCTTAGAGTTACAAAGTGGAAAGCCATGATCGGCCTAGTTCTGAAGGGAGATGCCATAATCGGCCTAGTTCTGAAGGGAGATGGCATGATCGACCTAGTTCTGAAGGGAGATGGCATGATCGACCTAGTTCTGAAGGGAGATGGCATGATCGGCCTAGTTCTGAAGGGAGATGGAATAATTGGCCTAGTTCTGAAGGGAGATGGCATGATCGGCCTATTTCTGAAGGGAGATGGCATGATCGACCTAGTTCTGAAGGGAGATGGCATGATCGATCTAGTTCTGAAGGGAGATGGCATGATCGGCCTATTTCTGAAGGGAGATGGCTTGATCGGCCTAGTTCTGAAGGGAGATGGCATGATCGGCCTAGTTCTGAATGGAGATGACATGATCGACCTAGTTCTGAAGGGAGATGGTATGATCGGCCTAATTCTGAAGGGAGATGACATGATCGACCTAGTTCTGAAGGGAGATGGCATGATCGGCCTAGTTCTGAAGGGAGATGGCATGATCGGCCTAGTTCTGAAGGGAGATGGCATGATCGGCCTAGTTCTGAAGGGAGATGGCATGATCGGCCTAGTTCTGAAGGGAGATGGCATGATCGGCCTAGTTCTGAAGGGAGATGGCATGATCGACCTAGTTCTGAAGGGAGATGGCATGATCGGCCTAGTTCTGAAGGGAGATGGCATGATCGGCCTAGTTCTGAAGGGAGATGGCATGATCGAACTAGTTCTGAAGGGAGATGCCATAATCGACCTAGTTCTGAAGGGAGATGGCATGATCGGCCTATTTCTGAAGAAAGATGGCACATAAAAGAAGACTTTTATATCTTTTTGTCTGAATTTCCGAGACGAGGGGTTGTTACTATTCTACATTGATTCTTTTACACCAGTTTCTTCATAGCTGTTGTCGTTATGGCGTTGGGACTTTCTCGAGTGCCACTTTTTTTTTTCGAATCATGAAGTCAGTCTTTGAAGAAATTCATCAGAGAGGTAGAACATCACTGTCAAGCAAAACAGGCGCCTGTAATTCCCTCAAAAGAACACCGATGTCGCAGCCCAGGTTTTTTTTAGCCTAGTGTTGAATAACCTTTGGGTGTGATCGGGTCTAGCCTCGTCCATATCTCGACGGATATACCGTGGGGTTCGGTATATTTGCACGTAAGTGCAAATACCCTTGAGTAAGGTATGAATGAACATATTTCCCCACAGCTATAGGTTAATTAGTAAGACTTGTATAACTAAATCATTATTATCCCGCCTTCCCACTCCAAAATAAAATCTTGCAACCTAAAATCATTTTCTGGCTTTAAATAACCTGAAAAGGGTTGATAAACCGTAAAAACAAAATCAATCAATCAAATACAGATTAGCTACATAGCCATGTCATTTAGATTTATTTATATTCTCTAGAATATAAATGTATAGAAACTATAATGACCACAAAGTGAGGGATCAGTTCATATATTGATTTTAATATAGAATCGATCCCCTACTTTATGTCCACATTATAATTTCATGTTTTAATCAAATTCTGATTAGGTATGAATCTACTTCTTTCCTCCCCTGTTATTGGTTAAGTGGTAAAACTTGTATTACTAAATCATTATTATCTCAAAAAAAAAAAAAAATCTTACAATTTAAAATTATTTTCTGGCTTTAAATAACCTGAAAAGGGTTGATAAATCGTCGAAAACGAATCATCAATCAAATACTGATTAGCTACACAGCCATGTCATTTAAATTTATTTATATTCTCTGGAATGTAAATGTATGGAAACAATAGTGACCACAAAGTGAGGGATCAGTTTATATATTGATTTTAATATAGAATCGATCCCCCACT